GGGTTTTAAGGGTATCTAATTTATAATAATATAGAAATACGTGATTTTTATTAATAAGCTTAGCTTTTCCTATTCTAAAGTATTTGCTAAAGAGGTTATTTTAAAGGTCGCTGGGACTAGGACCGGGTAAATTAAAAGGAGGGGAAACAGGATGATCAACTTCATCTTGTATCTGTAACAAAATATTATCTGTTAATTTTTTCGGCTTTTTTAGATTTTTTTTGTGAATTTTTTTTATTATTCAAAAGTTTAGCTTTAATTTCACAATTTAGAGCTAACTTATCTTTTTTATATTTGGGTTTAGATTTGGACCTAAAGTTTTCTTTTACATACACATTGCTGTTTTCCGCATATTCTAGAGGATTTTCACGTTTTTCGTTTAGTTTTGAAATGATCCGGAATTTTTGTAGAATCATGAATCCGTTCGTAAAGTTTTTTAGTTTTTTCCTGGTGTTGGCAAATATAATCGTTTATAATGTTTTCATCTGTTAAATCAAAAGGATCTACACTATCCGTGTGACCATTTATTATGTTAAAAGGAGTTTTTTTTGTTGATGAATGTATAGAATAATTATATGCTAGAATTGCATGGATCATTAACTGTTCTATTCTACTGGTTTTATCGTCAACGCGAAGACACCGTATTCCGTCGATAAGAGTGGAATGTTGCTAATTGGATTATAAGGCGTGCAAAAATGTAGTTTTATATTGTGAATTTTTGCAAAATCTTAAAATTGTTGAATTCTGAACCGTTATCTGATACTATAATGCGTGGGAGTCCCGTGATGAGAAGCAAATTGTAATAATGAATCAATAGTACTGATTGCACTTGAACCAATTATTTTATATGCTTGAGCGTAACGAGAAAAAGAATCTATGATTGTAATAAATTTTTGATTATCTATTTGAAATGTATCTAAATGAATTTGTTGAAAAGGTTTGGAACATGTGGGCGTTATATTAAATTTAATTACAGGAGGACTTCTATCGTATTTTGAAATTTGGTAAACATCGCAATTGTTAATATATTTTTCTACGTCTAATCTTATTTTCGGCCAAAAGTATTTTCTTTTTAGTGACAGCTCAGTTTCATTAATGCCGCGGTGGCAGGTTTTGGTTTCGTGATAATATTTAATCTTAAGTTGCTGTAATTCGAATGTTTCTACGTCTTCTAAGTATAAATGACTTCTAACAAGTTTAAAAGCTGAATTATGAAAAGTTTTTTGAATGACTTGACAAAATTGCGGAATAATATCTGTGTTTATAAAGTAAAGACAGTATAATTTTTTATCGGTAACATATTCTTTAAATAATGAGATTATTGATTGGTCTAAATTTTGTAAAGGTATAGAAACACGAATTCTATTTCTATCTTTAAAAGGCTTTTCTTTAAATAATGAGATTATTGATTGGTCTAAATTTTGTAAAGGTATAGAAACACGAACTCTATTTCTATCTTTAAAAGGCTTTTCTTTAATTACGTATTTGTTATTTAATTTAATATTGGTTGAAATTATTATTTGATTATTGTATGAATTAACAGATTTTTCAGTTATTGGTATGCCAAGAACGGGATTTTCTTCTGACGAATGAATGGTGTCAGTGGGTTCAACATTTTTAAAAGGGGGTTGAATTTGAATGTCCGAAATTATGTTTATTTTTGGTGGTTTAAGTAAATCATCTAGCAAATTTTGGGAAAGCTCGGGTATAGGCGCATCGTTATTTTGGAATTGTTGAATGTCTTTATCGATATCACCTACTTCAGGGAATATTGATTGGTTATCGACGTCTAACGGATTGATTTCAATTCGTGATAAAGCATCCGCTGAAATACTAGTTTCAAATTTGAAATGTGTTCCTCTAGAGAGGTTGAAAAAATTATAAGGTCATCCATGTATATTAAACAATTTTTATTTTGAATATCTCTAAAAATATTATCCATGACACGCTGTAATGTGGCAGGGGCATTTTTAAGACCAAATGGCATTCGAGTATACTCGTAATGTCCATTCTCGACATTAAACGCGGTTTTTGTATACTATTTGGATTCAATCTGATGAAATCCGGATGCAAGATCAAGCGTGGAAAAGTATTGGCAGCGACCAAGTTTATCTAAAATATCATGAATGTTTGGAAGCGGGTAGCGGTCATCAATAGTATTTTCGTTAACCTTTCTGTAGTCCACAACAATACGCCATTTCTTTTTACCGGAAGAATCGAGCTTTTTAGGAACGATCCAGATTGGTGAAGACCATGGACTTATCGAGGGTCTTATAATTCCATCTTCAAGCATTTTCTCTATTTGTTTTTTTACTTCCAATTTATGCACAAATGGATAACGATAAGATTTTGTATGTACCGGAATTTTGTCATTGGTTTTAATTTCGTGTTTTATCTGATTAGTAAAAGTTAGCTTTTCGTTTGGTTTATGGAAAATTACAGAAAACTCGTTGCAAATTTTTAATATTTTAGATTTTTCTTCGCTATTTAAATGATCGGTATTAATTAAATGATTTATGTTACCTTGAGTGGAAAAGTTATAATTATCTTTAAAATCTTCTATATTAAATACCTAGTTCAAAATTTTCTTTTATTGAATCTGGAAAGGGAGTGACTTTTAATGGTTGTATAAATTCTAAAGTGTGGGGTTCATCTGTAATATTTCTTATTTCAGTTAAAGCATAACCTTTTTTTGATATTGTTAGTGTTTCAGGAATAAAATAATTTTTGGATTTAACTTGAGGGATTAATATTTCACCCGAATAAACATTTACAGGAATTTTTACTTTATGTATTTCTAACGGTTTAAGTTTTATTTTAAATTTTGTTTTTTGGGGCTCCCTAAATAATAAAGGTATACTAATTTGGTCATTAAAAATAACTCTATTTAGAAAATCAATTTTAAAATTTAAATTAATTATGTCTGCAAATCCAATCAAGCCATCAAAAAATTCGTGGAAATCAAAAAGATGAAAAATATTTTTATTGGATTTTACTTGGGGAGAGCCAAACACTTGTTTATTTGTGGGGAATTTTTGTTGAGGTGGATTTGGGTGTGGTCTCATCTGAACAGGCCCGGTGGGAAAAAGTTGAAATGATTAATTATTTTGTCTAGATGGTGTAGGATTTTGATAATAAAAGTTATGAGAAGGTTTAGGTATACTTTTGTTAACCATATGTAATTGTGACATTTGACGGGATTGGTTATTAGCGTATGCAAAATTTTCTTCTTCAATTATAAAGGAAATGGCTTCTTCGAGGTCTTTAGGATTTCGAAGCCTTATTATGTCTTGTAGTCTACCAGATAAACCTCTAATATAAGTTTTTAAAGAAAGTTCGCTATAATTCTTGACGTGTAAAACGCGTTCTGCATCGGAATATGTTGAAATAGATTTTAATTTTGAAAATATTAAACTACGCGCATCTTGTATTCTTGAACCAAAATTAACAGGACTTTCATTTCGCAAAGGTCGCAAAACAATTAAATCTTGAACAAGATAATCCAAATTGCGATTGTCTCCGAAAGTTAATCTTAATGTATCCTTAATTTGTGTCCACGTATTTAGTTCTTGTCTTGAGCCTATTAAATATTGAGCTCTGCCAGAAAGCTTACCTAAAATAGCTTTTACAAGAAAATTGTTTATGGGAGTGTTTATCAGAAAATCACACGAATCAATAAAAATCTCTAAAACGTGTGTATCGCCATCAAATTTAGGTATGTTATCAATAGTTAATCTAAGAAGCTGATAGTTAACAGGTTGAGTCATATTTATTTCTGGGTTTATGTTTAAATTTTTTAAATAATTGGTTATTTCTTCAAGTGAATCAATTTTGACTTAATTTGATTTTTATTAGCCTAACTAAAACTACGTGATCTTATACAGAGATCAAATTTTGAATATATATCTGCCTTAAAGAACCAAAGGATAGGAATTGATAAGGAAAATGCTCTTACTTGTTGTATACAGGTCGCATGCATCTTCCTCGGTTTTCTTCAGCCCTTGTTGGTCTTGTTGGAACTGCACAGCTGTCTATAGTCTTTTAGTATTTTCTGTTGTTTGTCCCCGATGGACTGTTTAGTCACGTTTAACAGTTTAACTGACGAAACTTCGCAAAAAGGCACTATGCTTTCTTCAGCGCGTCACGACGTAACTATCCTACCGACACTGCGCCAATTAAATACTCAAAAGACTTATAGGCTTTTTTAAAAATTTATTGTTTTTAAATGTTTACAGAACAACGGCTAGATACATATTGAGATAAAGTAATGTTGTTTTTCTTGTCGAACATAGCATATTACTTGAAATGAAATATAAAACTCTGTAGATAACAGTTTAAGAATAAAATATGCATGCATATATCTACCACTGCCACTACAACGTTTAAAACGATTATTAATCCGTAAACACACAGCAGAAACACGATATGCAAAAACAAAGATCATATGACATATAAAAACAAATGGCCGACGGTAGAGTTGGTTGCCTTACTATATAATAAATTAAAATAAATTCCCTAAAACACGAGCTCTACTGAATTCCAACAAAATTAAGTAACAAGCTAGGACACGCGTCATATGTCCATCTTTGTCGAACACCTAGGCAGTTTTACATCACAGATGGCGCATTTTAGACAGGATGCTTAAAAACCTACGTGTGAGTACATTTACCGCTGCATCGAATGTACAAGACAGGTAAAACATTACTGCTAGCATGTCTGAGATATGTTCGGCACCCGATGAGTCACGTTCATATTTCCAATAAATTCATACGAAATTTTTGTGATTAAAAAAAGGCTGAATTTTTCGAAAATGTTTTATTTAAAAACATGTTAAAAGATAAAAATATTAAAAACAAAAAAAACAATACAAAAAAAGAATTTTTAAGAAAAGCTGGTAGAATAGGTTTTCAGGGTTGACAAAAAAAATGAGGGGAAACCAAACTCTACAACGCATACCTATTGTAAAAATTGTTAATTGATATTTTTTATGATTATTTTAGTGTCTTGTATCTATTTTTTCATGCCATGGCATGAAAATACATACCATAGAAGGGATAGGTGGTCCCACCACAAGATTTAACGCAATTCAAAAAAGTTTAGCAGAAGGCAGTGGAACGCAATGTGGATTTTGCTCCCCTGGTATGGTAATGAATATGTACGCTTTAACCCAAAGCGGTCAATTAAGCAAAGAAAGAATTGAAAATTCATTTGGAGGTAATATTTGTCGATGCACAGGTTATAGACCAATATTGGAAACATTTAGAAAGTTTGCAACAACTGATATCGAAGACTACACTCCTTGTCAACAAAATTGTGAAGGATGTCCAAGAACTAATTTAACGAATCAACTAACGGTTTTGTATGATGTTCAAAAAACTTCATGGATGAAGTTGTACAATTTGGATGATCTTCTACTGACTTTATCGAATATGGAAGGTTCTTATAAACTGGTAGCTGGAAATACAGCAAGAGGTAACAGGAGAATCTAATTAAAAAAAACATATTTTTTTTATTAAATTTAGGTGTATACAAAAATGATCCACTACCTTCCACATACATTGATATCACAAGTGTAATTGAATTAAGGTCTTGGAAAATTCAGGGTCCAAATTTAATACTCGGAGGGAATGTAACCCTTAATGATGCCATAAACATTTTTCAAAGCATTTCAAAGCAAAATACAAAGTTTAGCTACTTATCCAAACTGGCAAAACATATAGACTTGGTAGCAAATCTCCCAGTAAGAAATGTAAGCATTAGTAAAACGTATAGATCGCAAATAAATTGATTGTAAAATATTGCTTTAGATTGGAACGTTAGCTGGAAACTTAATGATAAAATATATACACCCAGACTTCCCCTCAGATATTTTTTTAATTTTGGAAACAGTTGCTGCCACTTTGATCATAGGTAAAAAAATTATATTAACTAAATTTTGTTAAATTGTGAGCTTTTAGTGGACCCAACTGGGGAAGAATTTGATGTTAAACCAAAAAAATTCTTAAAACTTGATATGAAGAAAAGGGTAATAAAATCCATAGTTTTGCCGGAATATGATGATAAATACACATACAGGAGTTATAAGGTCAGGTTTAATTTTTTTAATTAATATTAACCTGGTAGGTAATATTTGTTTTAGATAATGCATAGGGCCCAAAACGTTCACGCTGCAGTAAATGCAGGATTTTTACTAAAACTTAAAAACAATTTTGTTGTACAAGCCACCATAGTTTATGGAAATATTAATACGGAGTTTGTACATGCTGAATCTACTGAAAAATATTTAAAAAATAAAAACATATTTGATAATAGCGTTTTGCAACAAGCATTTGCTAGTTTGGATAGAGAAATAAAGACTGATTACAGACCTCCAGATGATGGACCAGAATATAGAAAACAATTGGCGATATGCTTATTTTACAAGGTAAATACATTTGTAACTGTCACCCTTTTTATAAGTCGTCTTTAGTTTGTTTTAAGTATTGCTCCAAAGGAAAAAATATCAACCAAATACCAATCGGGAGGTTTTCTTTTAAAAAGACCTTTATCAAAGGGAACTCAAGAATACTCCACTAAAAAAGACATGTATCCAGTGTCTGAACCTGTTATTAAGTTGGAGTCATTAGTACAATCTTCCGGTGAGAACCATTGTTTTTAGACCTATAATGATATACAGTGATGTTAATGCGCTAATAAGCCGTCTGTAAACAACGACACTTTAGCAATCACAGACAAACACAAGCAATACAGGTGTATGTATCTTGATCATCAGCAAATTTATCAGATGGGCCCCCTTAATTTAAAGAAGTCCAATGTTGCTTATAAATTATTTTTTGCATAACTTTTAATGCAAAGAACGTATAAAATTAAAATAAAATAGTTTTTAAAAAATTTACGGAGCGATGTTGTTGTTGTTATATAGGTATATGTACTTTTTAAGTCTAGTATGTAGTTGCCCCTTGTAAAATAGAGTTTAAATTATTTTTGAATAAAATAAATCATTTTTTATTATTTATTTTTGTTGTTTCATGAATTCAGATTAGTAATTTAGTTAAATTTTAATTATATTGTTTTACCAATAAGTCAAGTAATATCAGCTTTAAATCAACAGCATGTTGCCGTATGTCCATTTTGCATTTCATTTCCGAAATAATATTTTAATTATTGAATTATAATTTTATTATTTTATTTAATGTAATATAAATAATAATTTCATTTAATCATAATTTACGAATATATTTTTAATCCCATAAATCGTACAACACTGTTAAATTATCTGTCATTGCACGCTAAGGAGACATTAAAGACGTTTATCTCTGGACGTGAGGTATTTTTCTGATAATTTGGTGAGATGTGGTAGACCCCACCCATCCCTCACGTGAGATTCTAGCCATAAAACTTTCTTAGCGGACATAAGCATAAAACCCAAAAAAGTTTAAAAAAAAAATAAGTAATTTTTTTTAACAATAACACATATTCTTTAAATTTAAAAGTTGACGTGAAATTTTTCCTTTAAAATGAGATTTGTTGAGATTTTGCTAGACCCCCCATTTTTATCTTACGTAATTAATGGATGTTTCTTAACAGTTAATATATGTATTGATAATTTTCCGGGATCTGCTCCGTGTTGTCAATTTTTGGCTCTTAAAAGAACCGTATGTCTGACGACGTTTCGGTTCATGTACCGTCTTCAGGTCTTATCTGCTGGGCTGCTGTTGCTGATCTGCTGTCCACGTCCAACTCGCATATATATATATATATATATATATATATATATATATATATATAATTATATATATTTATATATGTATTAATGGTTCCGGGGATCTGCTTCGTTTTCTTGGTTTTTGGTTCTTAGAGTGATACTCTTTAATAAGAGTTTTTAAATTTAAGGTAAAAAGTTAAATGAAAGAAAGGCTTTAAACCTCCATTGCCTTAGTATTTTTAATCTGACGTCTTCAGGTGAATATTCATATTTAAGCTTGGTGCGTTGAAGCATCCAGGTGCAACGAGGCGTATTGGAGCATACAGGTGAGACGAATCTATGCATGGTTTAATTCCAAAGTCACATATGTTTAACAACGGTTTCCACACTTTTTTTATTTCCACTAAAGGCATACTTACTAAAGCAGTCAGGGTTCCGGTGAATAACCGCTGCTTCCTTGAACTTGCTCTTCCTCCAGTATGGTTCTATAGTATACTAATCACCTGATATGGTGTCCATGTCACCAACCCCTAAATAATTGGCCTTTCTTTTTTTGCATATTATTAATATGTTTTTTTACTTTTATAATGAGTGGGTTTAGTGTCTCGTCGATATAGGATTCTGTCTTTCTGGTTTTGTCTTCGTTAAATGGCTCCTTAACGTTTTTAAATTTAAGGTAATAAATTAAATGAAAGCTTTGGACTTTCATTGCCTTAGTATTTTTAATCTGACGTTTTGACTGTCTTCAGGTGAATATTTATATTTAAGCTTGGTGCATTGAAGCATCCAGGTGCAACAAAGCGTATTAAAGCATCCAGGTGTGACGAATCTATGCAAGGTTTAACAACAGTTTTCAGACTTTTTTTATGTCCACTAAAGGCATATAGGTATGCCTAGTATACTACACACAAAAACGTAGTGTTTGCTGTGAATATATGTTATTAATTTTAAATATACCGTTTATGCGAGATTAAATGAATTGTTTGTAATAAATATTTCGTGTATTCACCATTCAAAAGAATGATCGTCTTTAACAAGACTTTAAAATATTTAAAAGCAAGTAAAGCTAATTATTTTGTTGAAGAATTTCATATATTTGATGTTAAAGAAAATAAACATATTTTATATATATATATATATTATATATTCTAATTTAATATATCTATCATAAACTTTTAAGTAATTGGATACGTTACTTTATGAATATGGCTCTATTTAATTATATTGAATGTTTTCATATGTTCAACATAATTATTGGCAATAGTCTTAACAAAAGTATAATAGCTTTAAGTTACACTTGTAAAGAAAAAAAGTAAGAGTTTTGAAAGTCTTACTTTCTCTTAAAAACTCTGAATAAGACTTATTAAGTCGTAAAAAGTCAGAATAAGCCTCATCAAATCGGAAAAAGTCTGAATACCTAACTCTTAGAAAGTCAGACTAATAGCAAGATTTGGGAGTCTTTTGGAAGAGTTAATAAGACTTTTAGCAAAGAAATGGTAGGTATACCTATAGTGATTAAAATAAATATCCGGAATTATTCATGTTGTATTTGGTTGTTGCAAAAGAAAACACAAAGAAAAGTATTTACCTATAAACACATTTTTGTGTTATAAGGATTATAAAAACATGATAGCAATGTTTACAATATAGGTAAGCAACGCGTTGCAACGTTTCCCAGCAAACAGAGCTGTAACCAACTCGTGTTATATGAATATATTCACGTCGCATTTTGGTTGTTATTTAACGAGTTTTAAAGTAACGGAATATTGACGTGAAATAAACGTTTTGAAAAAACGAATGTTGTAACAAAAATGAAAATTTTATATTACATAAACATAAAAAACCTTCACATACAGTTCTTTCAGTCGAAATCAAGGAGGTACTTACCACAGGAATTCTGAGAAGTTTTAAAAATACGTTTGATACACGTGAAATTTAGACGAAATATGTACCTAACTACCCAGCAAACAGAAAATGTCAAACGACGTTTAAGAAGTAAAAATAAATGTCAAAATAAAACGTAAAAATGACGTATATTTCTCGCCATTATCTGACCACTTATTTCATACCAGAATCAGACGAATATGCGACGTCATCAAAATGTTTCAAAATTCGCCAATATGTAGGCAACCCATGCATACCTCTCGCCTCTGTAGCACAATAGATAGTCCTATAAAGGTGGAATGCCTTAAGCTAAGTAAGAATTTCTTACTAAGGCAAAATTACTGACCATATGGTATATACCGCTTCTGCTTGTAAGTTTTGAAGGGACACAGCTGGTCCTGTGGCCCACTCTGCGAAAAGTAAGCAGTGGGCCCTTTTAGCAAAAGCTTTTTATAAAATTTAACATTTTTAAAAATAGTGCTGTTTAACATTAAAATGAAATAATTCAACAACCAAAACACGTCAATTTTTCACCTTAAAGACGTCTAAAATGGACGTAAAGACGCATTAAAAAATTTTTTTTACGTCCAACTAAAGCGTTTTAATTACGTCCACAAAATACGTCATAAAAATGTGACATTCCAACGTTGATAACTCGTATTATATACGTAAAAAAACACGTCTTTTGGTTGAAATATTACAAAAATGTCACGTGTTTTTCAGGCTTTTCTGTTTGCTCGGTTACTTCAATTTATCACAATAAAATAGTTGATTGTGGTTTTTTTGTGTAGACCAATTGTTGATTACATAAGGTATAATAACTATACGCAACGCATGATGTGTTCGACTATCGAACAGTTGAACTCGAGTTATAAAACAAATATGGTTGATATTTGAGCTGCTTTCATTGCTGTTGTGTTTGATGCCCTGGCGAAAATAAAACGTGCATGAAAAGTGTGCAATAAGTGTGTATTTGGAGTGCAAGTCTTTATAACAATGTGCATACACGCTACTTTGTGGTAATTTCACACTTTTTGAAATAATTAAGTTTTTTCACTCTTTATGTACATTGCAATGTCATGACATCACGCTTTTTATTTGTCATATGTCACGCTTATATTACATTATATTTTAGTACATTGTTTAAAGACATTTTGCAAAGCTTCAGTCTATCTTACGCATGTCACATTTTATACACACTGTTAGCACGCTTTAATATTTCTCATTTATGACGCTTATATTACACCTTTTTATAGCATATTGGTTGTACAGTTCCAGCGATCACTCAACAGTTTAAGCACATTTTAGATATATCTCGCTTGAGTTGGGGTAAAACATTTATTTAAAAGGTGATCACCTCGAGGTAGATTCCATCTTATGTATTGCTTCTCGGCCTATTGCTAAGATCCCTTCGTGGAGTTGACAGTGCAGGTATTTTTCTTAATAAAATACAGTATGTAGGACCTACATTGTGGGTATTATTATTATTATTATTTTTTTTTTTTTAAATTATTTATTTGATTATAAGGATGTTTATATTTCAATTATGTGTAAATTTAAAAGACTCCAAAAAAAATCTGTTTTTGTAATAGGCACACAGGTGGCAAGAAACAGTGTGCAAACAATGTGAAAAGGAGTTCCCTTTAGAACTTTCAAATTTTTGGTTTTACACATTGTTTCATGTTCCATTTCCCACCCTCCGCACATCATTTTTTTTAAAAGATTGCACATTGTTGGCACATTGTTCTCAAATAATTTTGCTTTTTACACATTTCATTTTCGCCAGGATGGTACGTACAGTGTTGGCGGATGAATGTCATAAAAGTTCCTGACCAAAAATTACGAAATACTACACAAAATACTACACCCTGTTTTGAAAAATAAATTAAATTAATTTAAAATTATTATAAATTATAAAGTCAATAAAAATGTAACAGGATAGAATAAAATAATTGTGCATATTTTGTAAATATACAATATTATGGTAATAATACCAGTAAAAACCAATTTCTGTTTTATCCCTGTTAAAAATCACCCATAAAGACCAATAGAAAAGCTATTGGGATTTTCCAGCGGCAGCTTTATTGGTTTGAATTGGTCTCAATAGTGGTATCTGTACCATGAATTACCAATTCAAACCAATAGCGACACCGCTGGAAAATCCCAATACAGACCGATAGAGACTAATCGTATTTTATTGGTAATTCCCAATAGATATATTATAGATATATTTTATTGGTAATTCCCAATAGAGCTATTTGGATTTTCCAGAGGTACCGCTATTGGTTTGAATTGGTCCCCACTATCCATTTTAGACGTCTTTAAGGTAAAAAATTACGTGTTTTGATGGTTAAATAATTTCTCAAAAATAGTGCTGTTTAACATTTAATTTAAATTTCATAAATAGCTTCTGCTTTTCGCAGAGTGGGCCACAGGACGACCTGTGCCCCTTTAAAAATTCCAAAACGCCAGGCGTTTCCATGGCCAGTAATTTTGCCTTAGTAAGGAATCCTTACTTAGCAGCTCAAGGCATTCCACCTTTATAGGCCTATGTATTGTGCTACAGAGGCGAGAGGTATGCATGGGTTGCCTACCTATTGGCGAATTTTGAAAATAAATATTAAAGTGGTATATACCAATAGGGTTCCTTGTACCTACACACCGATAAAATACCAATTCAGACCATTAGTTTATCTATTGGTATTTTCCACTAAGAAAATTGCCAATAGAAACAAGTGGTCATTTGTATTAAATTGCGCAGGCGCTGAACATTTAAGTGGTATTTACCAATTGAATTTCAATTGGGAATTTCCTGTACTTGTAACTTCTTATAAAAACCAATTCAGACCATTAGGTAATCTATTGGCATTTTCCAGTACGGAAATTACCAATAGAAACCAATGCTCATTCTGTTGAGAAACCAATAGGCCCAATAGAGACCAATTTATTCCATTCTGATTTTTTATTGGTTTCTATTGGTCTCTATGGGTGATTTTTAACAGGGATATCGCTCCCAATTAAATCCAGTAAGTCCAATTCAGACCTATTGATACCAACCAATACTTCAATAGGTTTCTATAAGGAATGAATCGGTCAGGGATATCACTAAAAACATAAAGTTTTGCGATTTTAAGACCGACTAATATCACGAAGGCAATAATTGGTCGGCAAAGTCCTTCGATCTTAACCTAATATTTATTTCCATCAAGGTCGCCATTATTAAAAAACATTGTTCTTTTAGGACAAGCCAAATATATTGAGGATATGCCAGATTATCCTGGACAACTATTCATACAATTTGTGGTAGCTAAAGCACCAGCAAATTCAGTTATTACAAAAATTGATACGTCAAAAGCATTGGTAAAATATTCTTTTAAAACTAATATAAACCAATATAAAATAAAACAATTTTAGAGTATTCCAAACGTTGTAGCTTTCTATGGAAAGCAGGATATTCCTGGTGAAAACAATTTTACCCCATCAATGGCTTGGAACCTCTTCGCATTTAAAGAAGAAGTTTTTTGTAGTGGAACAGTTCAATATTACGACCAACCTGTTGGAATAATCGTCGCAAAATCACAAGAAGTAGCAGACAAAGCTGCTGAAATTGTTAAAGTAAATTGTACCCCTCCAATATCCGAACCTTTGTTAGTAATAAAAGACGTTCTAAAGGCACCTGCAGATGTACAGAAAAAAAAGATTAAACATTTAACTGATTTGGTCGCTAAAAGAAAAGGTATTGGTTTACTTCCTGAATACAAATATTAAATATTGAATGCATACTATATCAATTCTGCTGAAATAATATTTCAGAAATTAACACATTTTTTTGTAAACTAAATAATTAAATAGATTTGGATAATATAATATGTACCTATTCAATATAACAGTGCGCAAACCTTGTGTTGTTACTTTTATTTAGTTTTACTTCAATAGGAAATAAGTTATATTTCTTCTTAGGTAATTCTATTAAAAAAGTCATCAAAGGAGAATTCTATGTCGGACCTCAATATCATTTTCATATGGAAGTCCAATGTTGTGCAGTAATTCCAGTTGAAGATGGTTTGGATGTCCACTCATCAACACAATGGATAGATGGTACTCAACTTGGAGTGGCGAATGTTCTTAATATCCCCGCTAATAAGTATAAGTGTAAAAGGTGTTCAAATTCAAGGTTGTTTTTTGAAAGTGGAATGAAACGCGTATAAATATATTTAAGTATACTTACAGATCTATAGATATTATCGACCCATGCAACGAAGACTATAGTAACTCAAAAAACGTGGGTTTTGACTTACTATATGGCATCAACAGATTTTTTCAAGCTCTATTTGGTGGAAGATTACAGTAACTCAGACATGAAACGATAGGCAACCAGTGAACAACTTCCCTGTATAGTAAGTGTAATAATCCACATTCCTACAGGAAAAAACTATATTAAGTTGAGGTACTCTAGTCTACAATCAAAACTGAGTTACAATAGTCTTCGTTGCATGGGTCGTTATGACCCGGACAACATTCGTGATATTCATACGAACATCACGTCGTGATTTTCACAAATTTTATTCATACTGATATCATATGGAAGTCACCGCGTGATAAACAAAAATCATAGGAACGTCACGTCATACGGACATCATCCGGATGTCACTGCGTGAGAAATAAAAATCATGTCGTGATTTTTTATGCCATCACTGTTTGCGATTGACCGATGGCACAAAAAATCATGTCGTGATTTTTTACGCCAACGGTGTTTGGATAATCATTTTTGCGCTACGTTCGTACACTACGAGAAAAATTATGTTGAATCAACAGTTTTTGCGGTTATATTTATAAATACATTTAATATTTTCTTGGATTTAAATTAACTATATATAGTTAATTTAAATCCAAGAAAATATTGAATGTAAAACTGTTAATTCAATTGTTAACATACTTTTTCTTTCAATGTACGAATGTGTCGCAAAAATGAATATCCAAACACCGATGGCATAAAAAATCATGTCGTGATTTTTTATGCCATCGGTGTTTGGATATTTATTTTTGCGCCACATTCGTACGTTGAGAAAAAAAGTATACCTACATATATATTGAATCAAGAGTTTTTGTGGTTAAATAAAAACATTCAATATTTTTTTGGATTTAAATTAATAGTTAATTTACATTCAAGAAAATATTGAATGTATTTAACGTTTTATTAAACATTGGAATATCTTTTTTAATTGAATTCAATTAAAAAAGGACAACATTCGTGATATTCATACGAACATCATGTCGTGATTTTTTGACCGATAGCATAAAAAATCATGTCGTGATTTTTTATGATAACGGTGTTTTGATTATCATTTTTGCGCCACGTTCGTGCACTAAGAGAAAAGTTATATTGAATCAACAGGTAACAATCTAGGTTTTAAATTCGCAGTTCGCAGGGCTATAACGCATGCGCAAATTTTGCAAATATCACACCGTGAGTTCTACATGATATCACTGTGATGAAGCATGTGTATGCACTCAGGATATCACGGCGTGATAAAAAAAATCACGTTGTGATATCATCATGATTTCACCAGGAAATCCCGATTGTTGTCCGGGGATATTGTTATTTTAAAGTAAAATACAAAGGTACTGTTTAATAATGAAAAACAATATTGAACAAACAACAGGATTTTATTCTTTTGGCTTGATTTTCGATTTTGTAAAACTGCCGCGATATTTGTGCAATTTTTAAATTAATGTTATTCCGAAGGTATTGAATCGTTTAAAAATGTTAAGTGTAGGTAAACTTTTTTCTTCGAGAAACCCCAAAGGAAGGGTATTAGATCTCAAGACCTTGGCGATCAGTTAATGATTACTCTTTGTAAGATTGTTTCCGCAAAAGATCAAGTGTTTAAACACGAATTCGAAATGGTGATCAATAGCTGTATGTAAAATGACACCTAAAACCACAATGTGCTAAACGTCTATACCATACAATTCCTTCCGGCTTCATTTTAAAAAAATACGGACCACTTTCCCAAAAATAACACAAAATAGTGAACCGTTGGGGATGTACTGGCTTTTCCAGTATCACTTACTGATCAAAAAACTTCGGGATATTAATAAAGCAGAAATATCATCGTATTTATAAAAAAAGACTTTTTGTTTTGGTCCTCCTACAAGTTCTTGCCCATTTTAACGTAGGTATCATTTAAATAAATAATATTTTTGTTGAACATTAAAATTCAGTCCTTTAAATGTTTACTGTTAAATTAACTATATATAGCCAAATCTGTTTGGCGATAAATGTTTAGTTTCTTAGCAATGTGTATGCTGTTCATATAACAGTGTGTCCACGGATGGAATTTACAAGAGGAAAAAAATCTTTATTTATTTTACAACGAAGTCATTCTTTATAAAAAATTCTGCTTATGAAAAAAATGGGTTTACTATAAAAAAAGATCAGGCATACAGGATGTTAATAACTTGGTAAAACATAAAAATTCTTCTAGAGGGAAGTACCATTATTTATTCTTTTAGACAAAATTCGTATAAAGCATTGTTCCAATTGTTGTTTATATGCAATAATCATGGTGGTTTCGTGCGATTATTTGCTGTATTGTGTCTGTATTAAAAATTGTTAGCAAAAAAAAGAGCGTATTTATTCAGTATATTGCTGCGAAATTGGAAATGTATCTTATCAATATTCTATTAATTTTTTCCGTAATTTTTTTATTTTATTAGCTATGGGTCAGTTGGCTAAAGGCTGCATTTTCATCGTGTTTTCCTAATTTTTTTTAGATCCTTTACTGAAACAGTTTTGATAATTTTTTTAAATTACTTTTCGAAATACGTTTTGCCGAATCGGCCGCGTGCGGCCCGACACACGTATTTCTTCCGACGTGTAGAACGGGGACGTCCGCCTGGCCAGCTGTCGACCATATCCGCCTGACCGAATGTCGGCTGTGTATAGTTGGCCGAGTGCCGGCCACAACCGCCTGGCCATTCAAAAAAGCCTACGTCCTGAAATTCTCTGAATGGCAAGATACTTCTTTAACACACTCGACTAGCTAGACATTATTCGTTTCTGAGCAGTTGTTCAGCTATGCCATTACGGACGCACACTTCCAACTAAATATTGCAACCAATCGCTATTTATAGTTAACTCGCGTGCGTAAGCAGCCGTGAGATGTATCGCTTTTGCCGCGGCAGGCCGTATTCCAGCCGTAAGCGGGCCGGCTAGGGCAAGCCGAAGGATTTTGCAGCGGCATGCCGTATTCTGGCCGACTTCGGTTAGAACATGGCTAAACGGTACCGGGGTAACATAACGCGGGCCGTAAGCGGGCCGACTGGGGAAAGCCGAACCGCCGGTCAACAGCCTATGCCGAGCGAAGGTCGACTGCCGAGTGTTTGGTGCTTACTGGGATGTTGGCACAAGAGGTGAAATATATTAATTTACAAATTATAATATATCAGTATACAGTGTGTCCCCGGATGGAATTTCCGACAGGAAAAACTTTTTTAGACCTGATACAGCTAAACCGAGCACGGATTTGGAATCTACGACCAAAAATTATGTTTACGTGCACATGTGCGAGCGTTTAGCTGTGATATTTCAAGAGTTGAAAATTTACCTACAGTGTTATTATTAAATAAATAAGAAATATCATTCATAAATATAACCCAGTAAGCACCAAACACTTGGCAAACAGTCGGCCTTCGGCTTTCCCTCAGTCGTTCCGCTTATGGCCCGCGTTATGTTAGCCCGGTACAGTTTGGCCATGTTCCAACCAAAGTCGGCCAGAATACGGCATGCCGCTGCAAAATCGTTCGGCTTGCCCTAGCCGGCCCGCTTACGGCCCACGGTTAATTTTATAGACGATTTCAGAAAAAAAATATATAATCATCGAAACTATTGTTTTCGGGTTTATCCGACTTCCAATTAACAGGAAACATGAGAAATAAAATCCTTCATGTATGGCATTCTATATAGTGGCCCAAAAATATGTCAAAATTTTGAAATTTTTTGTAAAAACTAAAAATTTTAAATTTTAAAAAAACTTCCTTTAATGATAATAAAGCGTTTAATTTTAAGTAAAAAACGTCTTATAAAGTTTTCTGTAGACGCTATAGTTTTGTTATAAAAAATTTCTGATTTTTTTTACTTCACAAAATAATACATATTAATCATATTCAATTAACTTAATAAGTTTTAATGTCCAAATAAATACATGTAATTATATGTGCTGGCTATTATAATAACAAATACTCCTTAACAGTTTTTCTTTAAAAAATTGCAAATTCCTTGAATTTAAATTAAAATTTTTTGAAAACGTTAAAATAGTGATGCACTTGTTCTGACGCTTGTTCAGAAAAAAGGTTGATATTTTTCAATGAACTCTGGAACATGATGAACTAGGGCATGCATTTTTGTTGTGTACCGTACTCCGACTTTAGATAGTTCTACTGCGAAACGTTGAATATTTTCGGCATAACTTATACTTAGAGATTTCCCAAAGCAACTGGAAACAACTTCGTCAAAATACTTAAACAAATTGAGGTATTTGTTTCCTAAAACCATATGTATAAACTTTAATACATTAAAGACGAATATATATATCGCACATGGGAGACAACAGTGTCATAAGTTTTTTATTATTTTATCGTTGAATAAGAATATGACGAACGTATGACTGGCCCCATCGCCAACGCCTTATACTGATTTCCCAGGGTTATTTTACCCCCTTTTAGTTCTCCCACGTATCCCGCCACTGCACAGCATTGCCTGTGTTTGGTGGAGCCGAATTTTTACCCCGGCTGGTAAATCTCGCCTAGAAGGCCGTAACTGACAGTGTCGATGGTTAAGGCCTCTTAAAGAATTTTTTCGCCTAGTCCGCTAGTGGAGTGCGGAAAAGGAGGGAAAATATTTTGGTTTTTGAGGGACATTGAACTGACCCAAAACCAAGTACAATCCAGGTAATACTGAGACCATCCATCCTGGATTAAAGCAATGGCTCTGGAAACATCAGTCGGAGACATATCCATTTTTAAAAGTAAGAAAACACCTCAAAAGTAACACATTAATTTACAAAAAAATGTCCAAGTATGGGATGATTCAACAAAACAATCACTGTGGACCATAGCAACCTTAGTTCTTCGAACAAAAAAATATTGGAAAATGCAATGTTGTTTTGCCACTTTACAGAGTGTCTTAAACTTATGGTAAAAAACATATTTTTGTTTAAACCTGTATATTATAAACGTTCGTCTATTTTTAGTAATTTTTTAAAATGTAAGCGATTCTCCATTAATTTATCCACAATATTGTTTAATATTCGTTTAAATCCGAAATCAAATAAAAAAGTTATTTGCGATTGAAATTCATCGAAAATTTGTGTGGATCGATTATTTTGCCTGTGAGTGTAAGTAAGATTTTTTTTTAGAATAAAAGTATAGGATCTACAAAAAACTTTTTGAGACGCTTTTAACTTAAAATTAAACGCTCTATTATCCTCGAGATTATCCTTAAAAAAAGTTTTTTTTTAATTTAATATTTTTAGTGTTTAGAAAAAATTACAAACTTTTGTCATATTTTTGGGCCACTATCTAAAATGCCCTACATGAAGGATTTTAATTTTCATGTTTCCTGTTACTTGGGAGTCGGACAAACCCAAAAACACAATTTTCGATGATTATATATTTTTTTTCTGAAATCGTCTATAAAATTAACCGTGGGCCGGAATACGACCTGCCGCGGTATAAACGATACATCTCACTCCTGCTTACGCAAGCGAGCTAACTATAAATAGCGATGGGTTGCAATATTTAGTTGGAAGTGTGCGTCTGTAATGGTATAGCTGAACATTAATTGTTTGAAGTCCCCATCTCCATACTCATCTGCTCAGTAACGTATAATGGCTAGCTATAGTCGAGTGTGTTAAACCTATAGGATATACCTATCCAGGATGTCTGAAGGCTTTTTTTGAATTGCCAGGCTGTTGTGGCCGGCACTCGGCCAACTATACACAGCCGACACTCGGCCGAGTAAACATAGCCGACATTCGGCCAGGCGGACATGCCCGGTCTACACGCCGGAACAAATACATGTGTCGGGACGCATGCGGCCGATTCGGCAAAACGTATTCGGGCCGTATGCGGGCCGGCTAGCTTTTGCTTACTGGGAATGAAAAACAAAGGTCAAAAAATTGAACCCTGTGGAACCCCAAGTGAGACTTTCTTAATACTTGACTGTATATTATTTAAAAATACTATTTGACTTCGGTTTGCTAAGTACGAGGAAACTCACCTAAGTGGTAGACCAACAGATTCAAGCTTTCTGATTAGAAGCTCATGACTGACCATATCAAATGCTCGGTCGGCTTGGATAAAAAAAATAAGCCTTCCACCTGTAGTCTATCAGTATGACCTTCATAAATATAATTTAGGGCATCTGCTATAGCAGTATGCGTGGATTAGTGTTGCCAGAGATGGTACATTTGTACCTTTTTGGTACGTTTGGTGCTTTGGTGGTACTACAAGGTCTATTTTGGTACATTTTCATAAAATTTTTGAATTTTGATATATTTTCAATATTTTGCCTATTTTCAACAAAGTTGCTGCTTTGTTTATCTTACTTCGCGGTCATTTCCTAGTATTCCGCTTCCTGTCTTACAATAGCGTTATTAAAATGACGTATCTTAAAGATACTATCTTTATTCGTTTTATTTTCATATTCGTCTGTATCGCGCTATATTTAATTTTGGGGAAAAGACGAAAAGCACAAAAATGTTTTTGTTTATTGCATTTAAACGATGGTACAGTTGGGAGCAATAGCTCAGTAGCAACGACATTCAAAAATCGCTTGCGGTCAAAGTCATAGCTCCGCCTACTGTAGGATCTTAACCAAGAAAAAACGGTGGTACCTACACCACGCAACGGCTGCAAGCGAATATAAACCAACCGTAGTACTGATCTAATGCACGTGACATTTCAGGGAAATTTGGTACATTTTAAAAGTCGAATTTGATACTTTATCTTTCCAACCACTGGCAACACTGGCGTGGATTTTTTCCTACGAAAGCCATTTTGATTTTCGACAGTTATATTATAACCATAGATTAGATAATAACGATTATAACTCTCCAAAAATTGACTTAACCTGTTATAAAATAAAATATCAAAGACTTTGCTTAATTGACTGGATAGGCTAATGGATCTGTAATTGTTTAGATCATTTTTGCAACCTCTGTTCTTATATACTGGTATACTTTTAGAAATTTTTAATGAATTAGGATACTCTCCATTTAGAAAAGACAGGTTTACAAGATGTGCCATTGGAATGGCTATAATTTCTTTAACTTAATTTAATATTTTATCATGAATGTCATCAATTCCAGCTGCAGGTTTTTTAGTGGTCTTTTTTATTAATAAAAGCAATTGCTTCTATAATTTCAAAGGGTGTTACAGGATGCAGAAAAAAACTTTTAAAATTAGAAACAATTTTTATATTATTAAACTCTGTGACTAAATCGTTATTAACAATACTAATAAAATGGTTGTTGAAAATTTCGCACATTTTTTTTTTCGATCACTATGGGTAGGTATTATTATCTATGGAAAAAGTACCTAACTTTAATTTCAGATATGTAGTGTTTTTTTGATTTGGCGTTATTAATTATTTTACAAATTTCCTTTGAGATATTTGTTGCATCTTTGATTCTACCATTGTTTACTGTATGTTTGGCTTTGATTATAGAGTTTTCATAAATGTTCTTAAATTCTTTGTATTTTTTGGTATATGGTGTGTTATTAAGTCACCTGGAAAGCATTTTAGTAAACCATATTTTATTCCTTACTGTCAAATATATATATATGTAGTCCTTCGGAGGGGACTTTAAGCCCGCGGTCCGTTCCTACCCCTAACCCGCACAAGCCATTCAGTTGGCTTATAGGACTTATGGGAGTAAGGGTGGAACTAAAAGAGCACTTTTGTATATAAACTTTTTTTTTGTATATAGTCGAGTACCTATTTACAAAAAAACGATCGTTTTTTCAAAATTCAAAAAGCATTCATAAATTTGAACATTAGATATTAATAATAATATATTGTACTAATTGTTTTTATGTTAAAGAGTTAACATGCAAGTGCGTCGCTTGGGCGGAGCATTTGGTGCTAAAATAACCCGTAATACACTACCTTCAGTAGCTGCGGCTCTAGCAGCTTACAAACTCAACCAACCGGTTAAAATGCGTTTATCCCTTGAGAAAAACATGGAAATAATTGGCAAGAGATATCCTTGTTACGTCAAGTACGAAGTAGGAGTAAACGAAAAAGGAGTAATTCAATATTTAAATGCCGATATTTATTCTGATTTTGGAATTGGAGGAAATGAAGCTATGTTCCTCTTTTTACTTGATTGTTTTCAAAGTGGTTATCTCTCAGATACTTGGAATGTTTCACTTTATCAGGTTCATACTGATACACACGCCAACTGTTTTGCTCGAGCACCAGGTACTACAGAGGGTTTTGCTGCTATCGAGGCTATAATGGAGCATATAGCCTCCAGCTTAAATTTAGACTCTTACGATTTGAAGAAAGCTAATTTTGATTTAACTAAATATCCTAAAATTCAAGATTATTATACGGAAATCCTTACATGGGCTAATATCAACCAACGTAAACAAAGCATCAAAACATTTAACAATGTAAGCTTGATGATTTAAGGTAACACACAAAATAAAGTCGTATTTTTAGAATAACAGATGGAAAAAACGTGGCATGTCAATTTCTCCTCTTGTATGGACTTTGGAGGTTACTGGTAACTTTTCAGTATTTGTTTCCATATTTCATGGTGATGGAAGTGTGGCTGTTGCGCATGGTGGCATTGAAATGGGACAAGGGATTAATACTAAGGTAAAATAAACGAAATATAAATTTTATTTTAAAAAAGTTTTTAGGTTGCCCAAGTGTGTGCCTATAAATTGGGAATACCTTTAAACATGGTGTCTGTAAAACCTACCAATACTTTGACAAATGCAAATTGCTTTATAACAGGTGGTAGTGTAACCAGTGAAGCAGTTTGCTGGGTAGGTGTCAAACGTTTTTAAAGTACATTTTATTATTTTTTGTAATATTTTAGTCCACTATAAAATCCTGCCAAATTCTTTTGGATAGAATGAAACCAGTAAGAGATCAAATGACTAACCCTTCATGGAAGGATTTGGTTGCAAAATGCTTTGATAAAAACGTCTTACTTAGTGCCAATTCACTGTAAGTCTAAAATATAATTTATATCATAAGTTTTAAAGGGTTTCAAATACAGATTTAATGGTTAATTTAAGTGGATAAAATAAAAAATACGATTTTATTATTATTTTTTTTAATTTCGTATTTATTTATTTCAAAAGAATTTCTTTAGTAAAGATTTTTAAGACAGAATACTCCATTTTCTGTGATTTAATCTAATCTTTAATTTACGTTTAGGAGAGAAGCGAGTCTTACTTTTAAACTCGGTTTTTGTAATAAATTTCAAAAATTACTTGTCTATAGCAATGAACTACATTAGAATTAATTTATATTGGCCATTGTAGCATCTTGTTTATCATATAACTTAAAAATCTGTGAAATCGTTGCGTAAATTAAAATCGAATGCTTCCATATCTGATGCTTTAGATGGTATGCCAATGCATCGAAGGAGATAGTACCCTATCCAATTTACGCAGTGGGCGCAGTCGAAGTAGAAGTTGACATTCTAACAGGACAACACCAAGTCATTCAAGTTGATATCATAGAAGACGTGGGGGACAGCATAAGTCCTGTTATAGATATAGGACAAGTTGAGGGTGCTTTTGTAATGGGTATGGGATACTATACTACGGAAAAACTAGTTTATGATGAAAAAGGAAAATTACTTACCAACAGAACTTGGAACTACTACCCACCTGGGGCTAAGGATATTCCGCAGAATCTTAATATCAAGTTTCCAGGAAACAATCCTAATCCCGTGGGCACACTTCATTCAAAAGGTAAGTATTGTATAGAATTAGATTATAAATACCCGGTATGTCGATTTTTATCTGCAATTGCGGGTATAAATATTTTCTGGGAACGTCGGGTTTTATCTATTTAGTTCCATGTCTGCTTTCATCTGGTTTCATCCGCAAATACCTGTATTTGGGTTTATATCTGCAATCATCCGATTTTATCTGCATATACCTGCTTTCGTCTGTTTTTAACCGGTTTTATCTGCGTCTGCCTTCATTTACTTCTTTGCCTGCTTTCGTCCGGTTTCTTCCGCAATTATCTAATTTTATCCGGTTTCACTTGCAAACATCTGCTTTCATCTGCGAACGTCTGATTTCATCCGCAAACATCTATTTTAGTCCGCAAAAGTCTGCTTCATCCGATTTTACCTGCAAACATCTGCTTTTATCCGCGAAGATCTGCTTTTAACTGTGAACGTCTGTTTTAATCCGCAAACATCTGCCTTTATCCGCAAACATCTGCATTTATCCGCGAACGTCTGTTTAATCTTTATCTGCTTTAATCCGCAAACATATGCTTTTATCCGCAAACATCTGCTCTTATCCGCAAAGATCTGCTTTTATCTGTAAACGTCTGCTTTAATCCGCAAACATTTATTTTAATCCGCGAAGCATCTGCTTTTATCCTGCTTTCGCCCGATTTCACCTGCTTTTATCTGTAAACGTCTGCTTTAATCCGCAAACATCTATTTTAATCTGCAAAACATCTGCTTTTATCCTGCTTTCGGCCAATTTCCTCTGCAAACATCTGCTTTTATCCGCGAAGATCTGCTTTCATCTGCGAACGTCTTCTTTAATCCGCAAGCATCTGTTTTAATCCGCAAACATCTTCTTTTATCCGCAAACATCTGCTTTTATCCTGCTTTCGCCCGATTTCACCTGCAAACGTCTGCTTCTAATTGCAAACCTCTGCTTTTACCCGCGTTCGGTTTTATAAGTGATTCGCGCTTTTTGTTTTCCTTACGTCTTCTTGGGTATACTTTAGTTTAATTTACCTGCTGTGTCAAATTTTACTGAGCTGGTTCACGGCACAAAACTTTATAACTTTAAAAGGAATTATTTAAATAAAAACAACTTGTAGAAGTTTATTGAACTTCATTATTATTTGGTTAAATACTAATAAGGCCTTTGTTGAAAGACATAATTAAACAGTTTTTAATCATTAAGTTTACATTTAAATTAATTGGTAGAAAAAATATGTTTAATTTCAAATACATTTGAAATTATAACATCTTTAATTTGTATGGAATTTGTTTGAAAAACACTTGATAAACCCGGACAAATGCAGATATAAACGAAATGCAGTAGAGCCGGTCAAAAGCAGATGATTGCGGGGCTGCAGTAACCGGATGAAATCAGGCGTTCGCAGATAAAAGCATATGTTTGCGGATAAAACCGTATAAAAGCAGACATTCGCTTGTAAAAACACATGTTCGCGGATAAAAGCAGATGTTTGCGGGTAAAACCGGATCAAATCAGACGTTTGCGGATGAAAGCAGATGTTCGCGGATGATTTCCGATGTTCGCAGATAAAAGCAGATGTTCGCGGATAAAAGCAGATGTTTGCGGGTAAATTGGACTAGGCAGACGTTTGCGGGTAAAATCAGATGCTCGCGGATAAAACCAGACGTTTGCAGACAAAACCCGACTAAAATAGACGAAAGAAAATGCAGGTAATCGCGGATAAAACCAGACGTCAGCAGACGTTTGCTGATGATCCCGGACAAATTCAGATATAAACGCAGTGGAGACGGTTAAAAACAGATAATTTCAGATAATTGCGGGGGTGCACTAACCGGATATAAAACACAACCAACCGGTGTTCACGGATATAGCGATGCGGACAAGCAGATGTTATCAGATAATATTTTTACCCGCTTTTATCCGGCTTCGACGAAAACTTTATATCCGCAATCATCTGCTTTATTCCGGTTTAGACGAAGAATATCCGCAATCCTCCGTCATTTTTAGCAGGACATTTACTCCTATTGAATTCGAGACAAAAAAGATTATAGTGTTCCATTGCCTTAAAATCTGCATATTTTTAAATTTATTTAAACTAACCTTTTGAAGATAACTTAAATAAGGCATTACAAATTCCATTAAATTACTTTTATATTCAAGATAAAACTTCCAATTTTTTAAAACTAAGCTAATCTATAATAAAATATCTCGAGGCTATAAATCATAGTTTCATTCATCTCAAACACTTCAAAAATGAAAGTTTTTAGACCTAATCCCAACTACGTTCCTCAACATAAACTAACGAGCGTAAGGAATACTTAAGTATTACTGTTTTTAAAGTAGGTATATATATATACCTACTTTAAAAAACAAGATAAATAACAACGTAACTTTATTTCCGAAGAGTTGCACAACATAAACCACCCCAAATCCAAAATTAAAAGGCAAACGGGGATAAAACCAGATAAAAACAGACAAATTGTAGGCAAACGCGGATAAAACCGGACGAAAGCAGACGTTTAAACGCAATTGCGGATAAAACCGATCAAACAACGAAATTATAAATAAATATAATAGCGTCGTATACCTACTATATGCTCTATAGAGCACAACAAAAATATTGTTATCTCTAATAAAGATACTCTAAATCAGTTTTTATTAATAACAATAACAATTGTTCTTAATAAAATTTTACAACATAGGTTCGAGTTTGAAATCTTGATCCTTTTTAATAACGAAAACAAGTGACAAAAAACGCATCGAAAAATGATCAAAAAGGATCAAGTTTTAAAACTTTATCATTTGTCGATTAGTTTTTTTCAGCAGGGAAATAAAAATGAATAACATCCATGGAGAATTCTCTAGAGAGTTCTACCTATCGTGATAATAACATTTATTTGTTGGAAATAAAATGACAATAAAATGACAAATTAACGAAAACTAACCAAATATACCTTTTATCAAAATTTTGCCGGTCCAAAAACTATTAGAAAAATCAAAATTTGCGAATTATCCAGACAATAAAAATGATAATCTAAGGGTTTGAAGTCCAGCAAAAACTTTTATCAACAATGCAATTTTTTTGTAAACATTAGGGTGCTTTAAAAAATAAAATTTAATTTTTTTTTGCTCTTAGGGTATACCCTCTCAAATGTTTCTATTTAATATAAAAAATCCTCACCAAACATGGAAAAAATAATTTTATGTTTGGAATTTTATACCTCTGTATCAAAGTAACTTATGGCAATGATCATTGCAGTTTCTTATATAAAATGTAACGCTCTACAAAAAAGGTCTCTTATTATTTTTCGATAAATTGATTTCTTCTAGTTATTCGAGGTCAAAGTTTGATTAACATCACATTTTCTGGTTTTTTTAATTTTATGGTAGCAGACAGGAGGTGAAAGGGGGCAAAACAAGGCAGCGGGGGGGCAAAATGGGGTACCCAAAAATGAGCATATTAGGCCAAGAAGTGAGATATTTTTGTGCTGACGCGTAGCAGAGGCCTGCAATTGAGTAAATAACAACAAAACCTTCTGGGCTAACAACTAATCACTAGCACAAGTTTTTTTCTACTCCTATTACGGAATATGACCGTTCTAATATCACATATATTCCTTAAAGTATTACAGAATAAATTATTCTATCATCGAATGACGGAATAAACACTGGTGGCGACATCTCTGTGTTTAATATCTCACAAATTTTAGACCGATCCTACCTCACCTTCTCCCAATTTAAGTTATTTTTCTATGGTATTTTTTCGAAACGTAGAAAAAGTATAGTCTGAAACACGTTTGGAATTGCATATTCTGCTCTCGTGAAACTTTTCACTCGAGCGGAATATGCCGTATTCCAAACTTGTTACAGAATATACTATTACCTGTAAACTGTTGGTTTTTATATGTTGACGACAATAAACACATTCATGTTATGTTGATCAACAGAACTCGAGTTCTGATGATAAACGTTAAAAGTAAATTATTAAACCGTAGCGTATTATAAATAAATAAATAAGACACATACAAATCATGGTGATGGCCATGGATTGTATTTGCTTCATTGGAAATATAATTTTATGCCATTTGTGTTTAAATATGATTTTTGGCACATGACTGCCCCGAACGTCAAAGCTCGGCGAAAGTTGTCGAATCTATAAAGATCAATTGACTGTAAGGTTCTGACCGGCTATTTTTTTTTAAATAAGTCAACAATTCCATCAACCCTTAAAGCACACAAAACAGTGACCCATATGGATGTGTCTCAATAATAGCTTCTGGATTAATAAACAATTGTTTCCACTCCAAATCCGACAATTTTATTTTGATCAAGAGGAATCTTTTTTAAGACTAATAACCATGACCATGAGTTTAATCCCTCTAAAAAAACGTTTACAAATGACGTTTAATAGGAAGATTTAAATTTGTAGCAATTGGAGAGCCTCCGTTGTGCCTTTCAGTAGCAGTGCCTTTAGCAATAAGAAATGCTGTTGGATTAGCTAGAAAAGATGGAGATTTAACCAAAGAAGCTTGGTATCCTTTTGGTAAGAAATTATTAAAAAATAATAATAAATAAACATTGCAACATTTCAGATGGATGTTCGACAATTGAAAATACTTTTTTAAACTCCCTAAACAACTACAAGATGTATAGTTTGTAATTGTATTATATATGTATGCAGTGGGTTAGTAAATAATAAAAAATTAATATTGAGTATTGTTGAATTTAATATATGACATGGTGTAGTTGGGATGACAAACTGTGCATAATTACATCATGTATATGGTCAATGATAGGTTTTAAAAATTACTAATTTGACGGTATGACAAGCTAGACACATTCAACAAGTATTCCATATTTATATAACATCTAAATAACTTTACAGTTTCATCATTTTGTAAATAATTAAAGGCCTAAATTAATTTGCAATTGGACATAACATGGACTGATATTGTTTTTGTTTACATAAATACAAAGTGTATGGTGATTGAACCTACTTTATTTACAAATTGACGAATATTTTTAATTAAATGGTCATCATTGGGATATTTTCTTACAAAGAAAACATTATATAACATATTTTATATTGTGTACAATATCCATAAAGGTAAAAAGTGCCGTATATCTTACAAGTGCATCTAAAACAAATTAATAACACTGTACATGATGAAAAATAACAGTGCAATTTTTCGCCAAATTTATTCATTACGCATCAGCGAAAAACTGTTTACATAAGAAGGGAAATCTATTTAAAGCACTAGTCGTTGCAAGAATATATACAAAGTGAACCAAATAAACATACAAGTTTTATGTTTAATATATTATTTAATTCGCTTTGTATATCTAATTCTACCATGTCCCTACCTCTCTTAGTAGTTAGTAGCTCGTTATATTTTCTACAATCTACATAATAATTTACCAGTTCGTTTAACCATTTAGGCAAAATGTTGACTCTCAGGCACCGTTTTAATTTTGTAAGGTATGCTGTCAGCAGAATTGTCTCAGTGAAATTTATAGCTTTTAGAGAAAGTTGAAAGCACGTCGATATTTTTTATAAAATGCACTGTAATTGATATTAAGATTTACACCTAGAGTATGATAATGTATATAAATATTGTCATGTTGTTCAAAAGCCAATAGTTTGTTTTAAGGTCAACATTTAATGATTTTAGTTACTAACTATTAGATAACATATATTTACACCCTCTGGAAGATTTATAAACTGATGTGAAATATTTAAGCAACATTTTTTTAAAGATCTACAAAATATAAATAAAAGTCTAGAAAGTTCTTCTTTGCATATTTTTTAAGCTTAAACAAGTTTGCTAAATGGCGTCAACGTGGGTGTAGTAGTTTTAAAAATACGCCCTTTAAACTACCCCCTTATTAAAAAAGTGAATTTAAAGATTTCTTATTATACACACAAGATACTCTTATGCTTCAAAAACAGTTTAAAAACTTATTAAAAAGGTCTGCCAACATTTTCTATGTAGACAAGGATTCTTTATAGTGTTTTACAACCACGTGGTTTTCCCCTAGGTCCCCGGAATACACGTATGCTTCTGGACCCCTACAATTTAGGAGAATTTTATAATTTTCTATGCTCTATATAACATAACTCCTCAAGCAGCCTCTTCCATTATACCTCGTTCTTGTCCTCTTCAATTTAAGTCCTGAGGAAGTCTTTTATACAAAATTTGTACATGTTGGAGTAGGGAGATCTATCAGAACCTTTTCTGTATACAAGTAACTTACTTTCTACTACCTTCAGGCTCAATCATTCCACACCCATAGACAAAGACTCCTAAAACAGCAGGATGGTTTACTAACATCGCCTTCAAAAGATACTCTCCAACAGACGACATCACCAACTTGTAAAGCTCTTAAGCTGGCTATTCAAAAGGTATACAGTGTGCCTACAGAGGGTAAAGTATTAAAAACACTTCTAAAGAACACTTTATCCACTTCAGTCGTACAATAACAAACATAAAACAGTTTAAACACTTCAAAACAATAAATAAATAACTTAATAAAATTAAAGTCAAAAATAGTCAAATGGGTTGCATTTTGCTAGGACCTCGTAAAAAATAGGGTAAGAATTATGAGGCCGTACAAATTACGCTTAGATTTGACTTACTGGGTGTATAGGTGATACTAGTGTATACTTTACCAGAGTATGGACATTGTTTTAAACGCATATACTTTTGCCAAAGCTAAATATTTTGAAGTCAGCTTAAGAGCTTTACAAGGTGGTAATGTGGTCTGATGGGGTGAATGTTTTGGCAAAGTTAGTAAACCTCCCTGCCAAAGTTACCACAGTGAAAAGCAAATTCTACTTTTTTGTCTCTGGATTGAAAGCAAGTTACTTACATACAGAAAAGGTTTCAGTAGACCCCCTAGGTAAAATCAGAAACCGCTTGAGAAGTGAGGATGAGGAAGATAACAGGTAATGTTACGGTGAAGCATAGAAAATTACAAATCCTAAAAGAATGCCTCCTGAATGGTAGAGGTCACTGCGGTCGGACGCTGCAGGTACTCCAGGATCATAAGTGTATTCCTGGGACCTAGATAAAAACTCGTGGTTGTAAAACACTATAAAGAAACGGAAAATATGGGCAGACCATTTAAATTAATTTAGAGCACAAGAGTAAACTGTAATAAAAAAATCTCCACTCATTATTTTGAGATGGGTGTAGTTTGAAGGGCATATTTCTGAAACTACTGCACCCACGTTGACGCCCTTCAGCAATCTTTATTTAAATTTTATAGATCATTAAAAAAGAAGTGCTTCAATTTTGCACATCAGTTTATATTTTAAGGTTGATCATCTTACTGCTAAATTTAGAAGTCACTTTCAAACAACACATCATGACAAGTTTTAGTGGATACAAAATATACCCTTGGGGAAGGTACTACTATAATTTATTATACAATTTTTTTATTATTTTTAATTATTATGTTTAATTTTCTAATAAACATTTTTAAGTAAAGGCTTAAAAATTCTACATTATTATAAACAATATATTATTTGTTCCACCAATACGATTTATTAAAAAAACCTAAATAATAAAAAAGGAAAAAGAAAAAGAAAACAAAATAAAAAAAATTATAACAGATTTAATACAAGTATATAACATATTATGTACATGACTAAAACATATTTCAACTTGAACAAAATAAACATCAAAATAAAAATAAAATGTATAATTTTCATATGTAATATCTATGATAAATACTGTTATATTATAATTTTCGCTATCTATGTATGTAGAGTCCATGTTTATAAAATCACAAAATTGGCTTATTCCTGATTTTGTAATTAAAGACTTTGCCCCTTTAACAATAACATTTTTTTGTAGGGAAATAAGAATAAATACTATTTAATTTAGTTTTAAGGGACAAAGTCGACCAACACAATCAAAGCCAAAACATGAGATACGCATAGTTTAACATATAAAATTCTTTGGACTACAGGGTGTTTTGTTGTACTTAACATCTAAGATATAAATATTAATAATCATCGTAATTGTAACCAGTAAAACACCCTGCATATTAATGTGCCAGTTTAACAAATACAATTTACATGTTGGAGTATTATGTATTTAATGTATTAAATATTTTAAATCGGAAGATGTATGACATTGCTCGTTTCTTAAATTGTATTGCAGAATTTAAATGTAACAATATTATAAAACAAGTTTATAAGTTATTTGCTTGAAAACAACTTATTGCTTGAGTGTTTAAGTATTAAATGTTTAAACATTCATTTTGGTTATTTAGTACAAACATTGTCCAAAGCAACACATACTGATTTAATCTTATTTTTAGGTTTGTTTTTAAGATCTTCAGTAATAACAAAACATATACATTTTATAATAAATATGAATTTCAAAAAGAAACAGGGCGACAAAGTTTAACCCATTTCTATACCGGAATTGTCTCATCATGTCACATCTTCTCCTTCAAAAGAGTATAGTCTAATATCTGATTTAAAATAATGTCGGCCTGAGCCATTAACGACGACCGATTAAACATGTTTTAACGAAAAATAAACTTGGTAACCACTTTACTGTTTAGTAAAACCAACCAAATGATATGTGTAGAGTCAAAGAAGCGCAAACGGGACAATCTACTTACTTTCCTGCTTACTTAAACTTAACGCGAACTCGTAGTCGGCTTGTTCTTGCAGCCTCCTCTGTTTCCGGTCGTCCTCCAATCGCATGCTTTCCTTAGCCGCCCAGGCCAACTGCTGCGCCTCGGACATTCCTTCGCCGACCGGCGCCGACTTGCGACCGTCCGATGCTGTCGGGCGGTCTGACGTCGCCAGTGGCGCGCTCTGGCGGCCGTCGGCGAGACCGAACGGATCAAAATTGTTGCCGGAATTTTGTTGATTGTTTTGCTGCGTCGATTCTTCCTCGTCGAAGCAGATGTTGAAAGGGTCCTCGTATCGGTAGTCTCTGAACGGGTCGTCGGTAAAGTCCAGTCCTTTCGGTTTTGCCGCTGGCGCTGCTGTCGTCGTCGTCGTGAGGGTCGTTGTCGGATTATTACTGGAGAACTAAGGAGGATACGTGAAGATTATTAAGGCTGAAATGTGTTAAACAGAAAAACCAAGGGTTAGTATTGAAGACATCGGGGACCTATCGGCGCCTGAAATAACTGTTAGGCTTACGTAAAACGAAAAATAAATAATAATGATGCACACTACTGTGAACTGGATCATGCAGCTGCCACCAAACTTTGGAATAGCTAAATAAAAAATAAAAATAATAAATAAATTGCTAAAAACAAATTATATAAATAATAATTAAAATACATATTCAAATATATGGAGAAGTCCACCCCAAATCGACAACTTTTGAACTTTTTTTTACCCCGCTAATAAGTTTGTAAGAATTTTTACCCCAACAAAAAAAAAAATATTAAATGGCTCACCCATAACTTTTTTAGAAATTGACTAAATAGGATTTTTTTTAATGTTTAGTTCTGTAATGAACTTTTCAAATTCTATGAAATTTTTCAGTATGCTGAACAAACAATCAATTCTTCAAAGTTCGACATTTTAATTTTTTTCTTTTCTTTTCATAAAAAACTTCGATTAATTATGCGAACAATGCTGCTAAATCCAGAGTCAATCTTTTTTTTATAAAAAATTTGTTTTTATTATAAAATCAATTTAAGTAAATGGTTCTATAATATTTTACACATAATTTATAATCTAATCTAATAATTTTATGATTAATACGATTAACAATAATTTAATTTTGCATGCCAATTTAATAAAGGATTTATATATTTATCCACAATTCACATATTAAATAAGCATAATAATACTGCTTTGTGACCCATTATAAAGGTAATAACACTCTAGTGTCCTATAATCCATTTATAAGACACTAATGTTTTTTGACAATTAATAAAACAAAAAACTCGTATTTATTTATTTATGTTTTATTTGCTAGCAAAAATAAATAACTATTTGTTGGCATTTAAATAATTTACATTTTTTATACTCATTTAAATTAGAAAAAATTCGAACAAAAAAACAATCTTTAGCATAAATTATTAGGTTAGATTATAAATTGAGTGTAAAATATCATAGAACAATGGTTCAGTAAATATAGTTAAATTGATTTTATTACAGAAATAAGTTTTTCAATTAAAAAAAAATAGAAGATAAATCGAAGGTATTTTTATAAAAATAACAAAAAATGTCAAACTAAAAAACACTGAATAGAACTTGACATCGAACTTTTTGTTTTATTTTTTTTTAGAATTTGTATTAAAAATCAATTTAAAAAAAAACGTCCTATTTAGTAGGTTTTTAAAAATATTGTGGGCATTTGAAAAAAAGCCATATTTTGAAAAAAATTCAGTTTTTTTGAATCAATAAAAAAATTTGAAAAAATCCTGTGAAACGTTTTTAGGTAGAAAAAAAAAATTAGGTATCCAAATCAAAAGGAGTCAAAAGTGGTCGATTTGGCTTGGAACGACCCATATACATAACGGGAATTCTATTGATTAATTCTAGGTACTCCATTAGCAAACTTGTAATTTCTGGCTATGAATCACTTTCTGATTGGCAGACTATTAATTATAAAAATATATATTTTTTTAGACATTAATTCTAATTCTAATTTTATTCAAAGCTGAAATGCATTTATTAGTAGATAAAAATGTAGAAAAGTAATGGTACCGACCTATCCAGCTTATAGGCGAAGCCTATAAGGTTCGGTCCTTCCGCGGGACCTACTGTTTAACGTGGAATCCGAACCACGGTCCTCGATAAACCACCACTGCAACCACATTTTAACATGGTACAGTTAGAATCATCTTCTGACTTTTAACACGCACAACACCCAATGCTGTGACCGGGGATCAAACCCGGTACCGATGCACGCAGTTTGTCTCGGCTTAGTAGCTTAACCCACTGCGCTATCGACTATTTGTATATATATTTTTATAAATATATGATTGCAACATAAATAAAGTTTAAAAAATGTTTTAAAAAACTTCTATTTAATATTTTTCCAGAAAAGTGGCTACTATTTATTATATTAGAAGTTAAAGATTTGCCAAAAAGGTATAGAACCTATATATAAAGGGTGGGGGACATACCTCTCTATAGCCGGAATATTTGGAAAATTTGGGAAAAGGCTTTGGTTCGGGATAATCTATAATATAACTTCGATATAAACACTACAAAATAAAAAACGTTCATTAGATCTATCTATAAACTAACGTTTTTTGTTAGGTTAACTTCTAAAGTTTAATTTGTTACCCACAATTTAAATCAATGTGTTGAAAAATAGACAAAACATTTTTATTGATTTAAATTTGCATGTTAACATACATAATTAAAAATTATTTAACAATTTATAATTCTACCAAATACACAGGTTTTAGAGGCACTTAATTCAAATGAAACCTCAGAATTGCTTTATAATGTTTAAGGTAAATTCCAATTTAAAGAAAGAAAAAACACGGTTTGTCACATTACGAAATACTTTTTCCATCTAAAGTGAAAGTCTTTTCTCCTCTACAAAAAATCGCTAGTTGAAAATACCTTCTGATGTATGGTTATATATTTCGAAGAACTGATTAATATCTCAAAAAAGTGATTTCTGGCTGAATTTGGATTCAGCATGTTTCTGAAAAATATAGTCCAGTTTCTGTTTAAAAATGTTCTTGTAAAAAAGTGAAAAAACTACCTAGCTATTTGTTTAACCAAAAGGACTCGTCCTTTTTGACACTTAGCTTTTTGCTGATTAAATTACTTGTCCACCTGGTAATTAAATATAAGCTTTGTCGCTACTTTGATTTTCCGCTCTGTAGGCAGGGCCGGCCCGAGGTACGGGCGAACCGGGCAACGGCCCAGAGCGGCATAATGGGGGGGGCGGCATTTTTACGATTTGGTAATGATAATCAAGAATAATAATAATCAAGAATTAAGAATTACGCTCGAGAAATGCAGTTTAGATAATTTAATATCTTTGTTACAAAGATTTGAAAGAGGCGCTTTCTTTCATTCGTTTCTTCAATCACATCCTGTAGTTTTCTATACTTTTGTTTGACAATTAATAATTGACAAATATTATATCACGATTGGGCTTGCTAAGGTAGTTTGATAATTAGAAGTATAAAATGTCTGAAAAACGCAAAAAAGATTCAGGAACTTGTTATAAAAACAAGAGAAGGTGGCGTGCGGCGGAAAATCGAGTACTAGCACCAACCTTTTCCAAATTCTTGCAAAAAGAACCATCGTAGGCAGGTATAATAATTATACTATAATTAAACAATATTGCATAAATGAAAATAAGGTTTTATTTTTGTTGTGTACATCTAAACATTGTTTTTAGAGGTCTAAAATCAATGATCTGACAGCAGCATTCGGTTTTGCCAAAGTCCGCTAAACTCATTACGTAATAAAAAAAATGAACCTATGAATATTACCAGTAATGGGTCAAGAAAGTTTCTTAAAGAAATTAAGAAAATTAAATGTTTCATTATATATTGAGTTAATTTACTTTTAAAGATGATTCACCTGAAGTAAGTTACTTAAAATGTTCGGGTGCACTCGGTCTGTATACTTTTACATTAAAAATACGATATTTTAACATCAATTATGTAAAATAATAATCTGAGCTATTGCGGAATATTGCGAAAGTAAATTTTAACAAACCAAAGAATTCTTTCTAATTTAAAAATATTGTTTAATTATACTCACTATAATAGTGACACTATTTACAGTATATAATAATATATAGGATATAATCATTGACAAGTGATGCAATTATGTATATATATTTAACAGTATATTGCCTTACCTAGTAATTCTAAAGCATAAAAAATTAATAAATTTGAAAAAAATAATTACGTTAAACTACTTATTTTCCTATTCCTGCTGAATAAAATGGGGGCGGCAAAAATATCTTCGCCCGGGGCGGCAAAAAAGGTCGGGCCTGCCCTGTCTGTAGGGGCAGCCATGTTAGAGCACTCCAAAAGAAAATTATTACATCCTAACAATTCTTTATAATTAGTGTGTGTTGTTAGTAACATAATGTTAAATAAAGAAAGCGGCAATATTAAAAATGAGATAAATAGTTAAGGACATTGCACATATAATAAAAAATCTAAAATAAATTGGTGAAGATAAATAAACTTTAAAGTACAATTTTTGTTAAAGAGTTTTTGGCGCTCCTAGCGTGGTCCCAAAAATCGCAGTTAAATTATAATTTTTCAAAAATCCATAAAGAAAAATTACTGTTCAAAAAAATTTAAAATTTTGGGTTTTCGAGTTTTTCAATGGAATGAGCAACTGTACCAAAATTCATCAAAATCGAAGATGGTGCCTTCAAAACCTTTGGTTGATTTGATATGATATTACCCTTGAATGTTATTTTGTTTTTCTCACTATGTAAAAAAACATGGTTTACAAAAATGATAAGTTAATCCACAATTAATCTTTTTCTGTCTACTAAAAGTACAGTATTAGGCATTAGCCTAATTACCATTTGGTATAGGTAGAATTAAAAAAAATTAATAAATCTTTATTATATTTTGAAGTTTTTGATTATGACAAAAACTGATATTTAATCTTACTGTTATTTATCTAATTTAATATCTTAACTTAAATATTTAATGAAATATTTTTAATACTAACAAAGAAGACTTTAAATTTAAGTGTATATTCTTATTTTATTTAATTTTTTAAACAAAGTTTAATTTGTTGAAACCGTTAAATAAAAATGTTATTTTAATAAATAAAATAACTTCCTATTCGGTAAAATAATAATAATAATAATGGTGTATTTAGGTAAAAGGATTTCCCGTGCAGTATACTTAAAAGATTGACTTTATTATATTTTATTCCAAAGGTATGATGAAAAGCAACTATAGTATAATCACAAAACTGTTTGTTACTTTGTAATGAAACAAAAATAAAAAACACATGCAAAAATTTAAAAAATAATAATACAGGCAACAAAACTAAGCTGGCATCTTACCTTGGCATCGAAATTGCTAAAGTCTGCAAATCCACCGCCCCCGCTACCTGAAAAGGGATCGGCGCCAAAAGCGTCGGGTTGCGAGGATCGCTTGCCAGGCGGTGCCATCGGACGTGGCGGGGCAGGACGCGGCGGCGGCTGCTTGCTTTTGCTTTTCGGCGGCAACGCCGGACTGGGACTGGTTGGTCGGCCTGGCGCAGTCGCCGAACCGTCTCTGGTGGGTGCGTGCAGGATCGCAAACGGGTCGCAACCGAACGGATCTTTTTCAGACTGAAATAGGAGAAGAACGTAATGATGTTTATAGCATTATAAGAGTAATACATTTTTTAAATGTATTATTAAATATACACATAAATACATTTATAACTGACTAAACCTTATTATTGACAAAAACTTGTCTTGAAGAGGATTGCGGCAATATAAAACAAACACAATTGGGTTATGTTCGCAGTTTGCAATGTGTTCTGGTATAAGCAAATTTGAAATAGAGGTATGAAAAACGAAAATTACGGCTAAAAGCCTTTGAAAAGAAATTTTGTTGAAGTTGTTGGAAATTATTATTTAAGTTTTTGTCCTTGTAAAAGATTAATTAATTATATTATAATTATAATAATTATATTATAACTATAATAGGTATTTTTTTACAGGTACCAATAACACCTTTTTAGGCATTTAGGCAAATGTTTTAAAAATTAAATGCAATGATGCTGAAGACATCGAGAGGGAAAAAATACATTTAAAATTTGTGACAAGAATATAAAAAAGTTAAGAAACAAACTCTTGAAGATAACATATGTTAGTAAATGCTTGATATATATAAATTATGGCTTCAGAATAAACGTTTTTAACAAAAGGTGGGGGCTATACTCAAAAATTGTGCTAGAAAATGGGAGGTGGAGTCTCGAAACTTTTACCCTTGCTGAACAAAATCCTGGCTACACGGTGTAGAAAAGCAGGGATTCTTGCCCCATGTTTCCCTTTATTATATACCTATATTTCTAGGCCCAAAAATAAATAGAGTGTAAGTTTCCTTAGAAAAAAGTCCCCTCTACTTTGGCAAGTCCTTTACCCAAAACCTACTGTTTCTAATAATAATTTAAAAATTTAAAAGAAAGAATAAGTTGAACATGGTCTAAAATTTAAAATTCTTCAAAAGTATTTAAAAAAATAAGACAAATATTTTTTAAAAACAATTTTGTTTTTATTTTATAATATCCTTATTATTTATTAAATAGTAATTTTTTTAAATTATCTAGTTATTATATTAAAAAGTAAACATTTATGGAAGGTATGTATGTTTTTAATAATACAAAAATGAATCAATGCATATTTTCACCCAGGTTTAATTTTAGGGGTAATTATTTTACAATGAAACCAAATAAAGTTTTAAATCAATTGATTTCAAGCATTCAGCTTTTCAATCAGGCAAAAAAACAGCAAAGATATTTGATATAATTAACATGGTAGTAATTTTATCTTTAAAAAAATGTTATTTTTTAATTATATCTTTGTAATAGGTATGTTTACCTTCGAAATTATTTATTTTTTCATATATATTTACAAACAATAATACTGTCTATTTTTATCCATATTTTAAATTAGTCGTTAACGACTGATATAAATTATATTCAGGTCAATTCACTAACATGAGTTGTTAACCCACTATAAATTAACATGGTAGTAATTTTATCTTTAAAAAAATGTAATTTTTTAATTATTTCTTTGTAATAGGTATGTTTACCTTCGAAATTTATTTTTTCATATATATTTACAAACAATAATACTGTCTATTTTTATCCATATTTTAAATTAGTCGTTAACGACTGATATAAATTATATTTAGGTCAATTCACTAACATGAGTCGTTAACTTTACCCACTAGATCAGTGGATATTGGCCAATCAGGTCGATTAAATATAAGGATAACCACTAATTCTAGTGGCTAACGTTAACGACTCGTGTTGGTAAATTGGCCTGATTAACCGATTTACATTTTGGATGATTTTATTGGCCAAAAAACAAATCTAGTAAACCATGACTTATATTAGCGAAATTATTTTCTATGGTTAAAAGCAAATGCTACGAATTTCAAATAAATATTTTAATTGTTTTATCTCTAATTTAAAATGTCAATGTATAGAAATCGACTTTTTTATGGAAAATATAAAAATTGAAAGATAATTACCCAATTTATTTTATAAAACAATATATTTTAAAGAAAATTACTACGTTGCCATGTCGTGCAAAAACCTATATCCACTGATATGCTAAATTAGTTGGTATAAATAAATTAACGTTTCTGCATAAGGCCCTTAGACTTTTTAAGAATATATTGAGAGCTTAAAACAAATTGAATGGCGTTGTAATTAATAAAGATTGTCGAAATACACACGTCAAACCTTTTTATTTTTGTTTCGGCAAATATAGCATGATCCCACTACTGGTTTAGGGCCTTTAGATTCTTGAGGTTTATTTTCCGTAGCAAATGATGACCCTGGTGATACCAGTGGATGCCCCATCATCGATTATAGTGAATTTTTGGTAGAAAATATGTTTACAACATTTGGCATTTGCGAGCGTTTTTCAATATTACCCATTGCAAGGCTGCATCCTAAATCTTGATAAAAAGTTCTTTGGCTATGTGATGACGACATAATTCCCTTTGGCCCTCCATGTCTTCAAACACTTTATAAAACCGAATCAATACTAAAATATTTCAATGCATTGAATTTAAACCAAAATACACAATTTCACAAAACGGCTAACGCAGAACAAAACAATTTAAAACTGTATATTATATAAAGGCTTAAATTATATAATAATTTTCCAATGATTTCAAATCTTTAAAAAATGTAGAAGCTTATATTTGGATGACAAATCTCCAGACGAGCATTGGTGCATGTTTTTTTAAACACCCTGTATAAAGCATTTTATTTTTTATTATTTAAAAATATTTGGATTAGGAATACCAATTAATGATTAAAAATACTGCAAAATATACCATAGAAAACCTTTCCCAATGTTATAAATTAAAAAAACAAATTCATGAAAAATCACAACAAAATATGCTAAAAATGTACTTACTTCTTGAGCTGGTGCTTCTGGAGTTTTATTCGAATCAAATGCATTAAATGATCCACCAAAGGGATCTGCGGTAAATCCATCCTGTAATTTTTTAAATAAAAGTGTTACACAATACCCAAAATGACATGTAAAACAAATGCTTACATTGGTTGATTTTGCGAAGGCATCATTAAATGGATCATTGGAGAAGGCATCTTTACTTTTAAAATGATCTGAAAATATTCTTTGTGAAAAACACTTGAGATTTTTTTTAACCTTACCATTGTTGAAATCAGCTGTGAACCCTGTCGGTCCATTTTGACTGCTAAATGGGTCGCTATCAAAACCATTCTGAAAAAAAAACACAAAACTTACAAGAAAATTCGCCAAACATAATTTTGTTTACAAACCTGTTTGTTTGATACTCCATTTGCCATGATGATAGAGCTAAACTTTGAGCTTCTAAAATCAGGTGCAATCCTCAGAGCAGTATCTGGAAGTGAAATAACGTCACCGGTTTCAATGGCTGTGTCGCATGCCTGAATGGCGTCCGTCATTTGTCTGGTGTGTTCTTGTAATTCTGATATCAAGTTTTTAGCCTAAAAAATATTGTTTGCTTAAAAATACAAAGTTGCAATAATATATATTGTACTTACTTTGCTGATGTTCAGTTGACTGTCCTGTAAATTACCAGTGAGATGTTCTAATTTTTTGGAGCTCTCAATTTTTTGCTGTTCCAATCTTTGCTCTTCCATTCTGAGCCCTTCGAGTTGCTCCTTTTTACTGTTTAATTCAGACTCTTGTGAAGCAACTAACTCTGCCTGTTCTGAAGCCTGGATTCTTAATTTGTCAACCTAAAATTACAAACAAATATTTTAATATAAAACGAAATCATAATAAGTACAAAGGCGCAATACAATACATTTTCTAATAAAGCTACAGTAATAGTCTACTAAAAACAATTTACTTACATACTTTTAGAATGAAGTGATGTTCTGAATAATAAAACCGTGTTTAATTGAATTTTAAATCAATTTAAATGTACAAGATCAAGGTGATAAGTCTAGGCAACAAATAAATACATACAATTGACATTGAGATTAAATCTAATAAAAAATGTTCAGTACCCGCCACCAAAGCACAGCAAAAAAACATTTGAAATTTTGAAAAAAAAAGTCGGAAAAATTACCTTAGCTACTTGTTCTTCCAACTCTCTGTTAACAATCTCCATTTCACCGTCAACCTCTATTTTCTAATAACAGACAAATAAAAAAAAAGAAAATTCAACATGCCTAAAACCACTACACTAATGTGACTAAGATATAGTAAAGAGATTACAAGCAAGGCAAAGCTACAAGAAAACATTACCATACAAGTTTTATTTAGTTCAGTTTTTACCTGGGCTTTAAGATCATTAAGTCTTTTTTGGGCCTCCCCTTTTTGGTTTTCCAGTTGCTTTAGAGTTGCTGCTAATGTATCCAATTCGCTCTTAAAAATATTTGATATTAGAACATCTGCATTATTTTTACAAACTCTATAACCTACCTGTAAATTTTTAATTTCCCCACTTTTAATTTTAATATCGGCTTCCTTTTGTGCAATATCAGTTTCCAAGGCTAGTTTTTCTCGTGCAAGTTCTTCTATATCTTTGCTGATCATGTCTAACTCAGGGTTCGAGTAGCGTGTATTATTATTCTCCTATTAAAAAAAACACCTTGTATATTGTCGCATAGACACAAATAATATTGTCAACATGAAATGCTGGTCAATTTTATTATCAATATTTTTAACCGGAATTCTAGTCGAAGCGTCAATATTTTCGAGTTCCCTTAAAAAGCTCAAAGAAAAAGCAAAATCCATATATAAGAAAAACTTTGGTAAAGACAAAACTTGGCAGTATACTGGAACAGATCCTACTGAATATCCGGGTCTAAATCATGAATATAGAAAAATACAAAAGGCAAAATGGGAGAAATATTATGAATGCCTAATAGTGCAAAACAAATCATTAGATGGAAAGATATCAGCAACACCTGAAGCCATTTTGGGATATGAAGGAAGTTCAGTAAAGTAAATATGCTTACAATCTTTTTCAAATTCAAAAATATGACATGGATTTTTTTTAAACCTTGGGCAGTTTGAAAAAATTTGCGTTATTAATAGTAGTAGTAATTATGGATTTTGTTAGAGTATAAGCAAATTGTATCCAAACCAAATTTGCCTTCTGGTTATTTTACCCCATTTTAAGACAAAACTTATGTATAATACTTTATTTAGTTTTATATTTTATCCAGACTGATTTGTAAGATATGCTTAAGTCCAATAGACCAGGAAAGAGGCAACACCATCGTATGGGAATGGGCAGCCGAGGGTCAAAAGCATATGGAGCAGGTGGACTTAAACGATAACATTCTAATATCGCCACACGATAAAACGTTGATGCTGTACAACTTGCAAAAGGACCAAACCGGACAATACAAATGTAAACTCGGGGAAACGCTGACTCTGCCCTACTTTTTAACCGTGGGAGAAATTATAGAGGATAACTTTATTAAGGTAAAAAACTTTACTTTCTTTATTATTATTTTCTATATTTCTTTTCAATCTAACTTCTTTCTCGAGGTATTAGAGGTTGTTTAACTTTATTTTATCCAACCCCCATTTCGTTTCATAACTTTAACTGGTGGGCGAAATCTTACTTCGGCCACGGGCTAAAGTTAACTTTAAGTTCAAATTGGAAAATGTAAGGTTTAAGTTGCATGACAGCTGTTGGATTCCAAATAAAATTGGCTAGTTAAATAATAGTTATTTATGTATCAAGGCAGTAAAGTCGTATTTTTTATCACGAATGTGGAAATTATATAATAATTAATATTGATGATAAAATCAAATGTCATTTGATGATCAAATCAAATGACATTTGAATGTAGGAAGTGTCTACGTTTACTGTTTCTTGCGACGGTTATTATATATTTGCCCGCCACGGCGATTTTTTAATCTAATTAATTTAAATTAACTTATTTTTATTAAACAACATTTTATGAACGGGTCCAATTGACCTCCGCGACAGTGCTTCTTTTTAAATATTATTTAGTTGCTGCTGAGGAGCAGTAGACACATCTTAAAATGTATAATGGGTTGCATACAATACTCGTATTAAATCGGCAGTAAAGTTCTACTTTACTGCCGATTGTTGACAACTTTACTGCCGATTTCGGATAAAATATTGTATGAGATTCCACTAGCGTGTTGTCTCGAGTATGTATTATTTGAGTCATTAAAAAGTATTGATATACAGTGTATTTTTTTATGTTTGTGATTGCGTCATCAATTGCTGAACCACACATAGACATTCAAATGTGTAGCTGTCTTTTTTTTTTCTTTGTAAAAGTTCATCTGTAATTCTAAAACGTATCGGGATCCGCTAAACCAGCAGATGGCGACACAATTAAACGTAATTTACGACAAACGTCAATCCGATGTCGCGCTCACGCAGCTTGTGCTGAAGGTTAGTCAGTGGCGTTTATACAGTAATTTGTCATTAAATAACAGATTTTGTAAGTTTGTCAGGTTTTAAAAATGCCTGGCAAACGTTTGGACGATAATCGAAAACGTTTTATTATTAATTTAGTTAAATATTTCCAAAGGGAATTGGATCATGGGGGTCCCCTGCTCCCACTAAACTGCGTCCAAGAGGTAAGCTATGTTAGGCTTCTTCCTACTGAGCATGTTTACTCTCGGGTCAAAGACATGTGCAATAGTAAAATCGCATGCGTTATAAGAAAATATAACCGCCATTTCACTACAGCGCATGTCTCTGACCTCCATCCGAAAATCCAAATGCTCGTTTAATAAAGTGGACAATGCTTTCCGAAAAGCACAAGCATTAGACGAGTCCCCAGCCCAACCTTCTGGCAGCAAAACAAAGGCCAAGTTTCCATTACCAGGGGGGCATGAACGTTGAGTTATTAGAAAGGTGGGTAGATGAAAAGTTGGTGCCAAATTTGAAGAAACCTTTACTGATTGTGATGTACAATGCTCCTTACCACAGCGTCGTTGTTGAGCGTCGAGCGTTGTGCTTGGAAAACAGCAAATAGAAGAGTAGCTAACAGAACATAATATTCAGTTCACCAAAGGTATGTTTAAAGCGGAATTGCTGTTCATGGCACGCTACCACACCCAGCCGAAGCTTTACAAAGTTGATGAGTACCTCCAGCAGCATATGGGCATGAGGTTTTGCGTCTGCCTCCATATCATATATGGGCGCAGGTACATAAACAATTAGATGGGCGCTTGCAACAACGTTTTGTTTTACGCTAAAACATATTATGATTCCCACATGGGGGAAGACGGCTATGGCGACAATAAAGTGCTAGCAATGTGGGGTCAAGCACTGAACCAATGCACGCCAGAACGTTGGTGTTTCGTACTGAGGCACACCATCTGTTCCCTTTTACCACTTGGTGGTGTAAGGTTTGCTAGTGTTACTAGCTATAAACAAATTTTCTCCATTCTTTCTTGTTCTTGGATAATGTTTTTGCGGCTGCCCATGTTATTCCTCTGCTTTCTATTATGTCCTTCTTCCCTTTTTCTTTTGTACGACTTTTGCCTCCCAAACCGGCTTCACTTGTCTGCTGTCCTTTAGTCTTTGTAAATATCCCCACCAGCTTAGCTGCCTTTTTTCAATAAATTCTAGAGTGGATTATATTTCTAGTTCTTCTCTTGTTACAGTATTTCTAATTCTATCCATCCTTTTTGTGCTTGGTTTAGTACCCATGATCCTCATCCAAAGGTTAATATTGGTCTAAATATGGCTTTAAAATTTATTTTGGTTCTTTTAGAGATTTCTTGCTTTCTTATAAATTTATAATTTACATTAATAAAGTTAAAATAAATGCAAACTAATCATTAGAATTATTGTTTAATTGGGTGTATTTTGAGTTGGGTAACTATGAGGCGACATTAGGCAACCAAAAATACACCCACGATAAATGCTTAGACCCCTTCAAAATGATACGCTACTGACTCTAAATTTAGTTTTGGTTTAATTCTTACGAACCAATTGATGACATCATCACAAACATTCAAAAAATACACTGTATTTACAAGTGGAATTGGGTGTATTTTGAGTTGGGTAACTATAAGGCGACATTAGGCAACCAAAAATACACCCATGATAAATGCTTAGACCCCTTCAAAATGATACGCTACTGACTCTAAATTTAGTTTTGGTTTAATTCATACGAACCAATTGATGACGTCATCACAAACATTCAAAAAATACACTGTATTTACAAGTGGAATGATTTTTTAGGTGCATACGTCAAAATCGCCTAACCATCCACACAAACAAAGGCCTCTAGTAATAAGAGAATATAGTTTAATACTTGACACAGAGTGGGGTGATTGGTCGGGATGCACTATTTGCGGAGAAGTTGGTAAAAAACACAAAATTGGATATTGTACTGTAGGAATTAATACTGAGAAAAGCTATGTAAAAAATAATTTGTTTAGTTTTCAGTTATTTCTTTTAAATATTTTTATAGAATTTATACAATGAATCTGCAAAACAATTACCAGAAAAAGATTTAGAACTGCTAAAAACATTTAAATTCGGCATGCCATGTGCTTCGTACATTTTACCAGATTCGGTGAAACAAATACCGCAAGTAGCAGAGAGAAAAAATGAAATAATGACTGGATTTTGCAAAGTAAGAAATTAAAAAAGGTGTTTAAAAATATCCCTGTCATACGCGTATGTTACAAACTAGTATTTTTGAGAATAAGGTCGGAAAATGTTAAAAATATCAAGAAAAAAAACGTGGAACAATGTGTTTTTGTCGACAGGAAATCCTGGGTTAAGTTTTTACCGGTTTTTCAATAAACAGTGGAAATCCGAATGAAGAAATAAATTTCCCCTATAAATATAAATTGTACCTATTAGATACATTAAATACACATTTTAGGAATAATAAATCAAAATCGAGTTCTAAATCAAAGTTTTTCAGTTTTTACTTGCAACGCGAAACACAAATAATGCGCGATTTAGCTGCGCTATTGAAACTGCGAACAAAATTTGTCAAATAAGACTTCTGCCTTCCACTCTTTTGTGAAAAAAAGTATTTATTTAGATTTGCCATTTCTTCTTTAATATTCTCTTTTTGGACTGCCAAGGTCTGTGGCTTGATCACAGACTTAACCCCAAAGCAAGAAGTTTTGGTCAACAAAATTTTAAACAGACATACTTAAGTAGGATTTAATTCGGACTAACGTTTCGAAGAACAATTGCTTTCTTCCATTTTATATTTGTTTATACTATAAACTAATTCGATATTCCAAAAAATATCAAGTTGATTCTGATCTTTAATCCAGTTGCCCATATTGTTAATTTTTATGTTTTTTTTTCTATATATAGATTATAGTGCCAAATACTCTTAAATGTGCAAGATCTCTTCAACTAGATCGTCTGAAATATCCTATGAATAAACTTTACATATATAAAATGCTTTTTTCCTTATTTCTTCAATAAAGTAGAACGTAGAAAATAATCCGACTTAAAAAATTTGCCTATCTAGCATATTTAAAAATCTGACACTGTTGCTATTGAATGTAATAAACTAATTCAAAACAATCATACAGTTTTAATTTTGTTTTTAATTGAGAATAATCAAACTTTTTCTTTTACGATGCCTGGATACATGGATAAAAAAAATATTTTTTAAACTGAACTTTTGTATTTCTTCCATCGTTTGAACGTGGCTGTTTCATAAACTACCTATCTTTAAAAGTAAGTATAATATAAGTAATAAACTTCCCGTATATTTCCTGCATATAAAATTCCTTTAAAATTCTTCCTATAAAATTCCCGCCTTTACCGCCCGCTAGACCTCCTGTTTAAACCATTTTTTGGTACAATGGAGGACACGGAAATTCAAACGACTACATATAGTTAGGAAGCTGGTGGCAATTTCGGTATATGATTTGCTCGTCGTTGGGAATGATATGGTATAGAGTTTTTGCTTGTGAACTGAGTAAATAAGGTGACAGGCTCAGGTATCGCTGCTTTTTTTTAAGTAATTTTTAAAATTGTAAAAAATAAAACCTAACCTAAGTCATTTGCTCGTGTCTGGCATTTAGGTTTTATATTATATTGACCATAGGGCCATTCCACGCTTAATGGATAGGGCAGTTGCCGTGTTTTTATTTACAAAATAATATTGTTCTATTATATTACCAATGTCAAATTTTTATAAATAGTTCTAAACAAAAGCTGTTTAACAAGGTTTTTATTTGGCAAAATTAGGTATCGTGATTGACTGTTTAATTCCTTAAAAATTAATAATTTAAAGCGTAACGGACGGGACTATTACAAAGTCCCGTCCGTTGCGCTTTAAATTATTAGTTTTTAAGGAATTAAACAGTCAACCACGATACCTAATTTTAACTTTTTTGTTTCTTGATAGAGAAGAAAATATGATTTTTTTTTAAAAGAGTACATAAAAGGCTTTTTGGTAGGCAATCCACTCAGTCTTTTTAAGAACAAGGAGATAAGATGG